CCCCCCCTCCCCCCAGGACAAGGCCGCCGTCCTCGCCGACGTCCGCGCCATCATCAGCGAGCAGCTGGGCACTGACCTCGACAAGGTACAGCCCCAGCAGCCGGGCCGGGGAGGCGCGCTTACGGGGCAGCACCTCCCACCCTGCTCTCCCCCGGCAGCACTCGCACCTGCAGCGCGCCCGTGTCGCTGCGGCCCTCGCCGCCGCCGACACCACCCATGGGCCTGCCGACCGAGCGCGGGCGCGGGCCGAGCCGATGGGCGGCAGTGTCGCATGTGCCCGCTCCCGCGCGGGGTCTTGAGCGCGCTCCTCCCCTTGCCTCCCCGCGCCTCTGCGCAGGTGGCGCCCGCCGCCAAGTTCACCGACCTCGGCGCTGACTCCCTCGACACCGTGAGCACCCCTTTGCACACCCCAGAATCACACACACGCACACACACACACACACACACACACACACAAACATCTGCTCCGCACTGCCCGGCCTGCCTTCGCATCTGCAACTTTGCCGCACGCCCTCGGCGCCCCCGCCCCCCTGCCTGGCGGGGGCGATGCGACGCCGGCCTCGCTCCCGCGCCGCCGCGCCCGGCCGAGCCGCCGGCCCCTGCACCACCACACCCAAAACCCCGCGGGACCCCCTAAACCCTTGCAGGTCGAGATTATGATGGCCCTGGAGGAGAAGTTTGACATCACCCTGGATGAGGAGGGCGCCGAGAAGATCTCCACCGTGCAGGAGGCCGCCGACCTCATCGCCGCCCAGGTCGCCACCAAGTAGACGCCGCGGCAGCGCACACGCAGGGGCCCCAGCGCCCCTCTGCCACGCTCTGGGAGGCCGGGGGACGCCGCGGCGGCGGCGGCGGCGGGGGCGGGCATGGGGCAGCCCGTTGCTGCGCGCTGCAGCGCGCAGCGGCAGCACGCGGGCCGGCGATTCTGCCTGGCCGTGCTGGTTGGCGGCCCGCCCCTGGAACAGCCGTGCGTCCGCGCGCGCCGGCCCCCCAACCGCCCCCAGCTGCCGCAAGGGGCGCGAGTGCGTCCCCCTGCTGCTGTGCACATTTTTGACCGGGCCGGGTGCATGAGAAAGGGCGCCGCCGCGCGCGCATTAGCGCGCGGCCTGGCCGCGACGCCCCGCGGCGTGGCGAGGGGCCCACAAGGCCCGCAGCCGCGCGCGCGCGGGGCGCGCGCCATGCTCTGGGCCGTAGGCAGGATGACATCAGCGTCCGAGTAATATCATGCCGTACCTCACCGGTGATGACATGTGCCGAGCGGGTGCCCGGGGTCTCGAGGGGGGATGCTTTTGGGGTGGGAGGCGCTGATCGGGCCCGCGTGCGGCGCCCGCATTTGCAGTCTCTGGCAGAGGCACTCAGCACAGCAAGACAAGGCAGCAGGTCGTCTGGCCAGGCCCCCCTGATGTCCACTGCGTGCGTAATGCAAGTGGGCGGCGACGGGCAGAGTCAAGAGGGGCTCAAAACGACAGGGTTACACACTCGACAGAGAGTGGGACGTCACTGCGCGGCTGTCTGGATTCCACAGAGTTCAAACGAGCCGCGGGTCAAAATCGGCGACGGCCACGAAAGGGGCGGGCAGGCACTTCCGCACGGACCAGACTTTGTGTACAGGGCACAAGTAAGGGAACTTTGGCTTGAACGGTTTGTGTGGGAAGGCTGCGATTCTGTTCTGGTGGGCAGCAAAAGGCACGCGCTACACCGCAAGTGGTTGCATCTCCTCTCATGCGGGCACGGCGCAGGCGGCAGGGGGCTCTCGGCATGCAACGGGACGGAGCCCGATCTCCCCAATGTGTGTGTGACGCGTGGGGTGCAGGTGGCGCCACCAACCATGGACCCGACATACAGGTGCACTGAGACAGCCAAACGGCTAAACGCTGACACGGCGGGACACAGCGGCCAGGCATGGAGGGAGGGGGGTGGGCAGCACGCTGCGCGCGGCCCGGCGGGCCCCACTGCGCAGGGTCTGAGAAGCCGCGCTGCCGTGCCCCCGCAGCGCTGCATCAAACAGCTCCAGCCCTCCTAAGACCCCCTTCGCCCGCCCTCCCACCGCCGGGTCCGGCTATCGGCGGCGCGCGCCCGCGCCCGCGCCGGCGGCCTTGCGGCCGGCGAAGCGCCGCGCCGCGCAGAGAGCCGCCGCGCAGCGCACGCGCGCCCGCGTCACGCGCTGGCCGCCGCGCCGGCCTCCATGTACAGGGGCTCCTTGCCAACCAGCTCTGATGGCGTCATGTGTGAGCGCAGCAGCTCCTCCAGGCGCTCCTTGTTGGCGCCGCTGCCCTGGCCCACGAGCTCGCCGCCGCGGAACAGCAGGAACGCGGGCGTGCTGCGATGGTGGTGGTGGTGACACGACGTGGGTTTGCACGCCAGCACGCGGACATATTTGATTGTGCGTGTAAGAGA